AGGGGTGAGATTCGGGAGAATCTCAGTAGCAAACACTACCCATAAGCATGTAAGACATAATGCACATGCATGACATGTTATAATATTAACACATGAATGCCATGGAAAGTAAGCTAAAGCATTTTATGCTTTCATAACATATTGCCAAGGCAAAACATAACATGAACTTGCAAACATAACTTTGCAAACATTTCATCATAGCTTAATTACATCATGGCAACACAACCACATCATGCAAGCATACATATCAAGCATACAATATAGGTAAGTTCACTACTTTGTAACATAGCTTTCCTCTTGCTTTTCCTTTGATTCCCTTGTCTTTCCAACCCTATGGATTTTCAATCAACACCATTAAACATCCTTTTGGATGTTCCAAGGTCCTAAACACATCAATACATGATGCAAAACAATTATTAGAATCAAGTCATCAACTTATCTTTACTTGATTCTTTCTTGAACATACTTGAACTCTAACTTTTGAATTTCAATTCCAATCTTCCTAAAATTATTTCTACATACTATCCCCACATAATTTTGCATGTAGAATCCATTTCCAAGCTCAAAACAATCAAAATCCAATCCTAACTATTTAGAATAGTCAAGGCCGAACAGAATCACAAAATAAAGGAAAGTTGGACTTTTTTGCAAAATCAACACAGAACCACTTGATTCTTGTTGTTTCCAAGCCTTTAAACATGCGTTTAACATCCATATCATCTTCTCCTATTCTAATAAATTTCGTGCAGCACTTCCCCATAAGATTTCAATCATCAAAAATCCAATCAAACCAACCACTAGCTGAAAAATAACAAGGGAGGTAGAAATTACATGAAAAACAGCACACATACCTTGTTTTAGAGCTTGATCTGGCTTGGAACCACTTGGCCTTTCTTTCTCCCTCTTCTTTCTCTCTCTAGAAACCATTTTGCAAGAGCTTCCCCAAGGTTTCCATGGTTAGGACGAAATGAGAGGGAGGGGAGGGGTATTTATAGAAAACAAGACCGAATCTCGACCGTTGATCTTAAAAATACGTGACTTGATCTGGACCGTCCATTTTCTCTTTTTATCTTGTGATGACACGTGTCCTATGACATTATGCTTACCTCATCTTGATGACATCATGCTTACATCATCAAGCTACATGTCTTTAATCCAACCGCACACGTGTCTTGCATCTGACTGTACACGTGTCTTGCATCCAACCATACACGTAATACCTTCTTTTCCGATCTAACTGTACACTTGTCTCTTCCATATTCTTTCATTATTTTGGCATTAAAATAGGAAAGAAATTAATATAAAATTCGTGCAAAATATAGCCCTTAGGTATTCCTCTACCTATTTTGACATTCAGCACCGTATCGGGTACTTTTTTGAGTCTTGACTGACCCAGTACCACTGGGACATGTTCTGGTGCCATTTTCTCATCTTAATTAAGTACATATATGGTGCCATCTTAGAGGAGCATAGATGAAAATAATTAGCTCTACTGACAGGCTACTTAACCTTACAAATCACGCAGTGGAGATTTCACTATAATGAGTGGACAAAGGACTATCTAAAATATTCCCGTATTGCGTTTTGAATTTTATGCTGTCCATAAATATCTTCTGCTAACTCAGCATGATGACTCGTAGGGGTCGTGATTACATTTGGTGACTCAGCATGATGACTCGTAGGTGTCATGATTGCATTTGGTGACTCAGCATGCTGACTCAGCACCGTCATGATAGTCTTTAGATATTTTCTTTCCCTTTTTCTCATAAATCTTATTAAATAATACTTAATCGGGGTTACCTTTTCTGAATTCTTTCTATCGGCTCGTAACTCCGTTGATCTGTCTATAGGTTTCATTCTTTCCCTTTCATCACGGGAAATTCCTCTAATTTTTTTCGGGTCAAAAGTCAAACTCTAGACAGCTATTTTGACTTTTCCCGAATAGGGTATAAATAGGCTTTAAATTTAATTAAAGCTAACTTTGTCAGTTTTTGTGGACGGAATTAATTTTACAATCTGTGTAAATTCCCCAACTACTGTTTTTCAGTTTTTCCTGATTAATTGAGGCTGTCCCATGGCTTAAATAATTCAATTTAAGTTACTATCTCAAATTATCTAAAACCCTGGAATGACTTCAGGGCATTTCCGTCATTTCTAGTCTTATATCGACTTCGGGATCCTATTCCCATTTTTTTGGAATTTTTCTAAGTCATTTGGGCCCTTTTTGCTAACTTTGAGCATTGGCCAACCAGAACTTTTATTATTTACAACTAGGTCCTTACTTGGCCTAGGAATTTTTTCTTTGCAGTTTGGTCCCTCCTTAGGCCTAACATTCAGAACCATCTCTTGCAAGTTTCTGGTATAACCTCTGGCCCTTAGTTGTTTCCAGTTCGTCATTCTTTAGTCTCTAAACACTATTGTTTTACACTTTGCCCTTGGAAAATCTCTTTTTCCTTCCAAGAATCTCCGGGACTTTCGTTGCATTGGACTTAGTAATCATCCTTTCCTTGTGCTATTACTTGTATCTATGAGCCAAAATTTGGGATGTTACAGAATGCACCAAAAACTATTTTAAGAAGCTAGACATACATTAAAAAAAAATATTTTAGAGTATTGGATGTATCAAAAAATACTTCATCATGTTGGGTGTATTTAAAAAGATACTTCAGAGTACTAGATACACCATAAAATATTTTAAGGTACTTGATGTTCCTGAGAAAATACTTGGAGGTACTAAATGCTCATTAACCTTTTTATAAGAACAAATATGAAAAAAAATTATCAATTTAATACATTTATTGATTTATGAGTTTGTGATCTAAGTGACTTATAAATAGGAACATAGTGGTACTATCCTTTGTCCTAAATAATAAATATAACAACTAGTTTGTTATGTAACTTATATTATAAATTAGCTCTTATATTTAGGACAAGAGTTAGTAATATCACTCCACTTTTGCTCAAACCTTCTGTCCTTAATATTATTTGTTTTCCAACAACTAAATTTTAATTAACTCCTCGGTAGAGAAATATCTATAAAAGACACTAATTTAAATGTAAAAAATTATACTCTAAATACAATCTCCCCCTTTTGCATTCCTTTTTACATTCAGAATTTAAAAACATCTAAATAAAATACCCTTCCAATCATAAATATAACAGTCATTCATTAATATAAATTTTAATATAAAATAAGTTTTATATTTATGACATGAGGGAGTATTATTTCAGGTAAAAATATTAGATGACATAAAGAACATTTCATCATTTCCCCAAAAGCATTTACCAGTTCCTATTCAACCACCTTCCTCGAAAAAAAATTTCAGAATTCAGAAACATGCATAATTATTACTTCCTCCTGTTCAAAATTTTGTTGTCAAATAACTGAATTATACACCTCAAAAGATTAATTAAAATTTATTAAAGACAATTAATACATAAAAAGTGAAACTTGCTTTCTTAAAATATCTTTATTCTTCAAGTTTTTTATTCTAATAATAAATTTATCATAATTTTATTTTAGTGCTCTTTAAAATTTTTGAATTAAACATATATTTATATTTATATTATAATAAATGCATATTTATTTTTATAATTTTAAAATCCGAATTAAAAGAATAAAATTTCCTAAAAACGTAATATAATTGAAATTAATTTTATTTGAACCAACTATTAAATATTTAATTATTTCATAATTATATAAAAATTAATTTAAATTTACAATCAATATTTTATATTTCAGTATCATTTATTTAATTAATTTAAGTTATATTATAAATAAAAGTGTTAAGGTGCATCCAGCACCCTGAAGTATTTTCTCAGGTGCATCCAGCATCCTAAAATATTTTGTGGTGCATTCAACACCCCGAAGTATTTTATAGGGGCACCCTGCACCCTGAAGTATTTTTTTTGTCTTAGTGCTGAATGCGCCAAAGAATATTTTTACGTGCTGGACACACATAAAAAAATATTGCAAAGTACTGGATGCACCACAAAATATTTTAGAGTGTTAGATGCACCTGAGAAAATACTTCGGAGTGCTGGATGCACCACAAAATACTTTAAGGCACGGGATGTACCTGAAAAAATATTTCAAGGTGCTAGATGTACCTTAACTCTAAATAAAATTAAAAAATACAGAGAGGTGACGTGATTAAAAATCATGTAAAATTATAAGGATATGATAAAAAGAACTATTTCCTCTTTCCCTAGCTCTTGAAAAGTAATTTTCTTATCGTTAATCAACGACCACCTCTTATTCTAAAGTGACGAAGAAAACTACTGCATTTATTAATCTCTTGTAAATCTCTGTCTTGTGAATGAGTTTCAGTTTTCACTGAGAAAAGAAAATTCTCTAAACATGCAATTACTCCATGCGTACATAACATGACTCATTTTAAATAATTTATCAAAAATAATCAATGATAATTAACTCATTAAATCTTTTTTAATTTTTTTTTAAATTTTACCCATATTAAGTGAGATTGTAAAGGAAAGAGAAAGATACAATAATTTGCTACATTTTAAGCACAGGGATAAAATTAATCAATAAATATTAATTCTTTATACTTTAAATCAAATTATTTTTAAGAGGACCACGTCACTTGGACATTGTCCAATAAAAACGTACCATCTCAATTAATTGGAGGCCCACAAGTCTTTTTTTTTTTTTTTGCCTGAATTCTGCTACAAGTCGCTCATATGAAAATGAGTCCCGTGGACTGGCATATTGATTGAGTTGGTGTGTTTTTATTGAACAACATTCAAGCGACGTGGTGGTCTAAGAGCACCTAAGAATTTCTAGCCACTTGTAGTAGATGGGAATACTTCCCTGTTGGTGTCGTTTTGCTGAGAAATATTTAGCACACGGAATTGCGTTATGGATATGCAATGAAATCAAATAAATTGAGTCTCGTGTCTGTATTAATTCATTTTCCCTCCGGTAAGTCTGGGAGCATTCTCAACTGTTTTCAGAAATATCAGTCATTCCCAAAGAGATCATGGCTGCGTCATTTGTAGGTGGAGCTCTTCTCTCTGCTGCCTTCAATGTGCTTTTGGAGAGATTAACGCTTGAGCTGACAGATTTGATCAACAAAATCGGAGGAAAGAAGCGGGATCACAAGTTGCTTAATCATTTGAAGCCATCCTTGATTGCTGCAAGAGCTGTGCTCAACGATGCAGAACTCAAACAATTCACGGATCCTGCTGTGAAAGATTGGCTAGATGAACTCAAAGATGCTGTTTATGACTTGGAAGACTTGATGGATGAGATTTCCACCCGAGCTGCCACTCAGAAAAAGGTGAGCTATTTCTCCTTTGCGCCTCTTAGTTTGGGAGATACAAGCATGGCAAATAAGTTAGAAGTTATCAGCGATAGAATTGAATATATTGTGGGGCAAAAAGATGCTCTTGATTTGAAGAAGACAACTGGAACGGGTCCGGAAACTCTGTCCTGGAGGTCTCCAGTTACATCTCATGTGGAAGTCTTTGAAGTGTATGGGAGGACGAAAGAAAAAGAAGATATAATTAGGCTGATGTTTAGTGGTGAGGGTGGTCCGTTGTCTGTAATTCCCATTGTGGGCATGGGCGGGGTAGGAAAGACCACCTTAGTTAATTTAGTTTATAATGATGTCAAGCAAAAATTTGATCTTACTGCATGGGTTTGTGTTTCTGAAACATTTGATCTTTTGAAAATAGCACAGACCATAATAAAATCTATCAGTCCTGATTTTGTCTGTGATAACTTGGATTTGAATCTTCTTCAGCTTCATCTGGCGGAGAAGTTAGAAAGGAAAACTTTTTTAGTTGTTCTTGATGATTTTTGGAATGACAACTACAATGATTGGCATACTTTGAAGACTTTGCTTCACAATGGACTGGAAGGATGTAAAATTCTTGTTACAACTCGCCTAGAACGTGTTGCCTTGATGGTCAAAACAATCTCATCATTTTATTGCCTAGATATCATGTCCGACAAAGATTGTTTGTCAATTTTTGCTACACATGCTTTCTATTGTAAAGATTCAACTGTGAATTCATGCTTAGAAAAAATTGAAAGTGATGTTGCTAGTAAGTGTAAAGGATTGCCTTTGGCTGCAAAAGTGCTTGGGGGACTTTTTCGATCAAAGCCTCACTTTGAAGACTGGAATAATATATTAAAAGAATCGATGTGGGATTCATTGGACGATAAGATCATTCCAGCTCTGAGAGTCAGTTATTATTATCTCCCTCCCAATTTAAAACAATGCTTTGCTTTTTGTTCTTTATTCTCGGAGGATTATCAATTTGATAAGGAAGAATTAATGTTGATGTGGATGGCAGAAGGTTTCTTGCAACCGTCAAAGCAAAACATGACTTTAGAAGAAGTTGGTCAAGAGTACTTTGATGATTTAACTTCAAGATCATTCTTTCAACCCTTATTGCCTAAAAATGATATGTCCTTTGGGATGCATGATCTCATTCATGAGTTAGCAACTCATGTTGCTGGAGACTTTTACTTTAGATTAGGGGAGAATGGAAACAAAATTGGTAATAAGACACGTCATTTATCTTGCAACTTTCAATATTATCCATGCTTAAGTCGTGAAGTTTTTCAAAAATCAAAAGGCTTACGAACATTTATAGGATTGGATTTTTTCAATGTCCCTAGGTCTATTGGAAATGCTTCTCATATTGTATCATCAAATTTGAAGCACTTGCGGATGCTGTCACTTGAGGGTTTGCGGTCCTTAAAGATAGTTCCTTACTTAATCGGGGAATTTATCCATTTGCGCTATTTGAATCTATCATTTACAAGTATTAGAAGTTTGCCTAATTCAATCTGCAAGTTGTTTAATTTACAGATGTTGAAGTTGCGTGGATGTTCATATCTTGAGATGCTACCAAGTGACATGAAAGATCTTGTAAATCTTCGTTATTTGGATCTATCTTTCTCAAAGAAGATCGTAAGTTTGCCTGACTCATTGTGCGAATTATACAATCTACAAACATTGCAGTTGCCATGTTGTGATTCTTTGAAGATGCTGCCAAGAGATATGCAAGATCTTGTAAACTTGCAACATCTTGATGTAAGAGGCACTAACTTGAAAGAAATGCCGAGGGGATTGGGTAGCTTAAAAGATTTGAAAATTTTGAGTAAATATGTTGTGGGCGAAGACCAAGGGACCAGAATTGGAGAATTGGGAGGAATGTCAAATTTGAAGGGTTGGATTGAAATTAGTAAATTGGAGATTGTCAAGAATGGAAAAGAAGCGTACGAGGCGAGGATGACGGAGAAGAAGCACATTAAAGGGTTAACATTATCATGGTCTAGAGATGGTGACGTGGAAGACACACGAATTGAGAGAGATATTTTGGGAAATCTTCAACCTTATTGGAATTTAGAAGATTTGGAAATTAGAAATTATAGGGGCACAATATTTCCGGATTGGTTAGGAAGCCATCACTACTGGAACATGACTATGTTGCAATTGGTAGGGTGCAAAAACTGTTGCATGCTTCCAACCCTTGGACGGCTCCCCGCTCTAAAGGAATTAAGAATTAATGGATTAAATGGGGTAAAAAGAATTGGTGATGAGTTGTTGAAGGGAGATGATTGTGCTTCCATAATACCATTTCCATCCCTTGAAGTTCTCGATTTTTCTTCGATGAGTTCATGGGAACAATGGCATTCCATTAACATGGAAGCTTTCCCTAAGCTCCAAATACTCAGAATATACGATTGCCCCAAGTTAATTGGAAATTTACCTCGCCAGTTGCTTTCTTTAGAAACTCTGGAGATTGATCGTTGTCCATTTTTTTGTTCTAGTATTCCGAGGTGTCCCAAACTTCAGAAACTAGCGATAGATGGAAGTGAAAATGTGGGGTGGCAAGAGCAAGAGTTACCTTCATGCCTTTGCGAGCGAGAGATTGCAGGATGTCGGATGTTGGAATCAATGGCAGAGCCACTCTCCAAACATTCGCATTTACGACAATTAACTATCACTGGTTGCTCTAATATATCACCTCCAATTATTCATTTGCCCCAGTCATTACAATATTTACGGGTACGATTGTGTGAAAATGTTGATTTTGTGATGAGTTCAACTGCTCCTCTTCAAAATCTCCAGTCTATCAGTATTGCATTGTGTAATTTTGTGAAATTTATGTGGGATGACATGGAAGGCCTTCTCCCGAATTTAAGAAAGCTAAGCATTGAGCATTGTGACGAGATGGAAGCATTTCCAGAAGGGATCCTTGTGGCAAGTTTGAGGGAACTTATTATTGTAGGGAGTAGTAAGCTATTATCCCGTCAAGCAGAGTGGCACCTCCCAAGTAATATCACTTACCTTCGTATGTATCGCTATAGTAAAGTGAAGTGTTTCCCAGAGGGGTGTTTTCTTCCTGCCACTCTAACCACCCTAGAACTCAATGGCTTTGATTGCTTGGAGACATTGCATTGCACAGGACTTCAACACCTAACCTCTCTCCAACGTCTAAAGATCATGTGGTGTCCCAAGCTGGAGAAAATGTCAGGAGAAAAGCTGCCTGCTTCTTTAAGAAAGCTTCACATCTGGGGATGTCCGTTGCTTGAAGAAAAATACCACAGCAAGGATGAACAATTTTTCCGCCAGATATCTCACATCCCAAACATCAATCTATTCACGGTATGAGATACAATTAATTATGGATCAGGTATTTATCGTCCACACTCATGTTCCCAACTATTGCATTTTATTTTCTACTACTTCATACATGCATTCACAGACCATTATGCTTCCATATAATTAAATTTTCCTCAATGGTGTTAATTTACTTGCATTGTTGGAATCACTACTTGCATAGGTTAATCTTTTGATCATTTATATGATACTTACAAAATCATTTGTTTCCCGGTACGCTCTGGATTCCAGCTCGCTCTCTGTTTCTATAAACCTACCTTAGCTATTTTTCTTTACCTTCTTTTTTCATCTCTCCCCCCCTCTTGCATAAGCTCATCAGGTCTATATATTATTGTAAATGACCATTTAACTGGCTGCTTATATACTGAGACAAAAAGCATGATTATTATCTTTGGAGATAAGAAAACAATTATTTTTTCAGAACAATCACGCGAAAGTGCTCATTGATAAAAATGAATGACAATTCTAGTTGTCCACTGTATTACTTGTGTTTAGTTTAGTTTTTCTTCCTATAATTTAATATGTTGCGTATATTCAATGACTTTATACTTTGTTTTTGTTATTTTCCTTTCCAAATTTATATGACTATAAGGGTGACTCTTAGAATTAACTTAAAGTATTATGATTTGGAAAACTTCATGAACTAAATAGCGGCGGCAATCTCATATGTCTGTATTAAATTATTCTAGATATATTTGATGACAGAATGATGAGTTTCCATAAACAACTGATGTGGCTTAAATTATTATTCATTACTTTAGTTACTCTTATTACATATCCTGAAGCATAAACCATTTAACACCTTTACATACATAGTCCATCATACTCACATTTCCATTACTTCACAGATTACAAAAGCAATCCACTTGGTCTCAAAATTATGCAGAAGTGCAGATTCCTCTAAGCTTATACCAATCATGTAATGAGGAATTATTGGCAAAAAATAATCATGAAGGTACACTTCTAGACAAGTTTATGTCTACATAACAAATGCCATTTCTTGTTTCTTTTTTTAAATCTTCTCTGATTGAGTTTTTCTTTTTATGGGGTTGTTGCAGATAGAGTCCAACATGGTTAGTTCTAATTGGTAAAAGCAAACCCAATGCTTCTTCTTTGCAAGGGGTAATGCTGCAATTAAGATCCCCGTCATATATTCCTATTCTAAAGAGGTTTGAGCTAAACCAAAGCCTTTGATTTTCTTCTTTCTCTCATAATCTGCTTGTTTAACTTACTTTTCTATACCCTATATTTTCCTTTGATTCTTATTAACTAGACGATCTTCATTTCCATTGCTTCCCCCCCCCCCCTCACTTCCTTGGGCTGTCTCTAGACTTATCATATGCTTAAAATGCAGCACCAGCAAGAATGACAGCAAGGGATTTGCAGACCTGAAGTCTTGAACTTGTGCTGATGAAATCCATCCTCTTTCTTTGACAGAATATTCTCTGATTTTCTGGAATTTTTTTTTTTGGGTGGCTCGGGTGCATTATTATGTTGTTTTAAAAGAAACTTTTGGTGAAAGTGTGTGTGATGAATCTGTAGTTCTGTATATAATGGCTTTTTTTCTGCTTGCTTAAATGTTGGGATGAAGATGTGTATAATGTATTGTGAATACTCATCACTTATAAAATTCTCAGGCTTCATGCTTGGGGAGAGGATGTAGGATTCTTTTTTTTTTTGGATCCGAACCTCTATATATCGTGGTGTCATCTTATTATATTTAAATCATCCAAGGAAAATGATATTTTCAAGAAATCAAGCATGCTTGAAATCAGCGTTCCTACACTCAAGTTTAACAGACAAAGCACAAGCATGTTTAGAAAGCTTTTAGCTAATATCCAGATATTTTCGATACAATTTATGTTTGCATGTGGAATTATCTGTATGTATGTATGTTAGAAAATAACTAGTTGAGTTGATATATAGAGTTTTCACAGTATAAGATATCACAAACAAAGTTCATATATATAAGAAAGAATAATCAAAATTCTCTCTCTCTCTGTTTTTTTTTGCCCCTCTCTTTATCTTACACACAATCACCACAGAGCAATATCCCCAACAAAACAATACTTAATGAGAGTATATACGAAATAACAATATCTGCAATCAATAGTAAAATTTGTATCCTAAAAGTGAATTCTACAAAAACACCTATTATTCAAATCAATCTCACACGTCTTCATAAAATTGACAAAAATTTCTTTGAGAATAAAAAAAATACAAATTCCACATGGACATATATTTATTTATTTATTTATGTTTGTTAGGCATATATATGTGTCCTTTTATTAGAAATAAACAGAAAAGTAATAGCCCAATTCAGATTAACCCAAAAAGATATTGGGCTGAAATTGAAACTAGCCCAGCCTGAGATAGGATTGGAGCAGGCTCGTCTCAATAACAGGGATGGGACGGAATTTTCATCTCGGGTCTCATCTCATCCCAAGGCTAACAGGACTGAGAGGGGACATCAGGACAGGATGTCCAGTTTCTTTTTTTTTTTTTTGTGGACAAATCACTGTAATTCTAGGCCTATATTTTGCTTTTTATGTTGTAATGTTTGTTTTTTTATTAGGTTTCTGAAGATAAAACACTAAAAAAATAAAGGAGAATTAATCTTTTGATCCTTCAAGTTTTAATTCATTTATGACTCAATCTCTCAACTATAATTCGGTACAACTCAATCCTTGAACTTTCAACTCTTTATAACTCAATCCCTAATCTTTTCACATTTAATAATTAATCCTTATCATGTATAATTTATTCTGAGCCAGCAAATAATTATCCTACATGGCAAACAATATTATTTAAAACCACTAAAATTGCAAATGTGTCTTCCAACTCAGCTCGCATGTGTGATAAAAAATCGAAAAGAAAAAAATTCTGGACTGAATTTCTTGACTATCCACCCTGCTCATATGCAGCCGGACTCCTATATCACGTTCTCTGACTCGTCCGGCAACATCTCCTTCTTCTTCTTATTCACCCTCATCTGGCCTGCAATTTGTGAACTGCAGTGTTTGTATAAATGGGACGAGGTCTTCATTGGAAAAGAAAGAAAGCAGAGCATACATATGGGCTGACTTGGAAGACACATTTGCAATTTTAGTGGTTTTAAATAATATTATTTGCCATGTAGGATAATTATTTGCTGACTCAAAATAAATTATATATGATAAGGATTAAATTATTAAATGTGAAAAGATTAGGGACTAAGTTATAAACGAGTTAAAAGTCCAGGGACTAAGTTGCACCAAGTCATAATTGAAGAATTGAGTTATAAGTGAGTTAAAACTTGAAGGACCAAGAGATTAATTTTCTCAAAAAAATAATTATGTAGAAAGCTCAATCTATATATTCTAGACCTTGCAGCGGTTTTGTGATTGATCCACATGATGGTCTTAGGTGGTAGTTTCTTTTGCATCTTATTGGCTATTGGGTGATGATGTGAGCCTCTTGTCGTATAATGTTAAAAAAGTGTAAAAATAATACTATGAAAAAGAACTGTCATAAAAGAAATATTATATCATAATTTTATGAATTATGTTATTAAGGAATGAGATTTTCATTGAAATGATAATGCAACTTAAGAGAGGAAATTCATTATAAAAAATAATTATTCTTAAAAATAAATTGAATAATCTAATAATAATTATTAGTAAGTAATTTTTAAAAAAAATTGTGATTGGGCCTCATCTCATCCTAGTCATTGTTTTGTCCCATTCTATAGTCATCCTGTTCCAAAATATTTTTTGTCTTACTTATTTTGAATTGATCTCGATCGAGACCAGGACAAGATGATCGGGATGGGACAAGTTAAAACCCCCCTAGAGACATTGTGTCACTAGAGGCATGCACTATCTTGACCAAAAAAAACAAAAAGAAGCCATTCCCTCAAATGTAATTTATAACTAAATTTATGTTTTTATTGCCGAGACAAATTAAATTTGGGGGAATTGCAATTAGATTTTAAGAAAGGGATTTAATTACTTTAAACCGTTGACAACTTAATACTCCTCCGGTCCTAAATGTAAGACCCTTATACTAGTGTGTATAAGGGTCTTACATTTAGGACCGGAGGAGTAGCATGCAATGATAAGTTCTAGTATAAAAAATGACAACTGGTTTATGCTGCCTACTTATTATTATTAAGACTTTTTGGTAATTAAATTATTTTTTTCAGTAACTCATAGGAGTTCTCCTATTAAATTTTATATTCAACAGATTAGCTGTGATTTATGGAAGAAAGTGACCGCATAATTTTTAAGTTCAATTTGGAGGTACTTTCTTTGTGAATGATTAATACTACTACTTTACAACCTCAAAGGGGCTAGGAGTTGGGAACCGTGTTTAGATGGAATTTAATTTCAATCTCCATCGCAGTCTCTTGTTTCAAAATTCAACCCAGCATTAGTGACCACATATTAAAATATAATTAGCCTGCTTTGTTTCCTCAAGGAACGTTTCAGAAAAATGCGCTAAGGACAGAGGATTAGTATACAAAGACTAGGCTTGATAATTTTTTTTTTTTTAATGATTCTTTTGTTGTACTCCCTCCTGTGATGTAAGAAGTCTTATAAAGGAAAATTTTGGTCTAGAATATAAGAGATTGACAGAGTAGTTAATGATAATTTTTTTTTATCCCTTGTTATAAGGAGAAAAGAAAGTTCTAAATACAAAAGAGATGAAAGAATTTTCCTCTCACATTTTTAATAAGAGTAAAACAGGTAACTGTCACCAATTTGAAACACATTTAATGGCTAGTATTTATTGATATATGAGAAAGCCGAACTAACGTTTTATATCATAGAGTAGAATGAGTATTTAGAGACATAATTCCCTGCTTTAGTGCACTCACATCCTCATGTCTAGGTGTTGTGTTCTCTCCCCTTCCCTCCCATTTCCTCTTTTAAAATCTCTCTTCTGCCTCCTTTTCCTGCCAAACAGTTGCTAGGTTTTGTTTGGGTACAGAAGAGGCGTGCGCTATGGTTGGAAAAAAAAAAAAAAGCATCTATAGGCCTGAAATGTAATTTAAATTCATATCAATTTGCATTGATGCATTACAAATCTAAGTAATGAAACTCATGACACAATTATTTTCTTAGAAATGACGTGTGTTTGAGCTGATTAATTAGATTATCAATTTCATTATAAATACAAAACTTTAATCTACTTTGTCTTTAATATTTATTCATTTTATTCCCAACTAATTTGTATGTTGATTGCATATGTTAAGGATTTTTTTATCAAAGGGTAATTTTAATATACATGAATAATAAGGATATATTAAGAAAGACAATATTTATTTATTACAAATAATTAATTTAATTACTTTTTTTAATATTTGCAAATTAATTATTTAACTTTTACATTGAATACTGAAAGTAGGATTTTTTTTTTTGGTATAACTCAAAGTATCTGCAAATTACTTCAAACTATATATATATATATATATATATGCATTTATATTATATATAAATCAATTTATTTAGATGTATGAAAACATAGGAAAAATATTTTCTATTATTTTTATTAATTAAAATATAAATGAGATGATTGAAAGAGCATTTCATACATTTTTATTCCGAAAGCTGTTACTCCCTCTGCGTCTTTGAATATAACATATACGAGTATGTTATAAATAATCGAAAGTATGAAATATAATTAGCCCCATGGTCAAAAAATGTAATTTCCTCTAAGGACGTTTCACAAAATGCTGAAAGGACACAGAAGACCGGTAAACAGAGTGACTCTTCAAAAATGTGTACTTAAATTCAATTTGGAGGGACCATCCTGTGTTACGTTTTGTTTGTTAATGATTTTTTAATCACGTAATTTTCTAATTCATTGCATTCACATGGCCCTCATTACGATCATGGAAGACTTGTAGGGTAACGAAGAGGCAAAACATAAAATAACTCTAATCAGCTTGTTTTAGGCGCTGTTTGCCTATCTCCCCAAACCATGGTTTGAAAATTTTTTTGCCAAACACCCTATAAAAATCTCAAACCATGGTTTTACCCCTCAAAACCATGGTTTCGGATAAAGCTACCAGGAGCTACTTCTGCTTCAAATTATTAAACGTTGGTGGTGGGTCCAGGGAATATTACACAGAGCAGGCGTCAATTATTTGCTTCCTCCTTCACTCTTCACCGAGCTCCTGGTAAGAAATAATCATATTTTTTGTTGGCAAAATTATTTTACAAAAAAACATATTTACTTATTTTATTAATATATATACGTATTAATTTTTTTATTTATATTATTTATGTCTTATTTATTATATTGCCAAAATATATATTATTAACAAATTTATTACTTCAAATAAACATATATTATGAAATATATCTTATATGTAATTATCATTTAAACTTATGTCCTTTTTAGTAATTTCTACATATAAAAAAGCACTTCTGACAACAACTATCCAAATACTCTCACTTTACCAGAATCACTTTTTCAGAAAATCTATTCTTTCAGAATCTATTCTCTCCATAATCTATTCTCCATAAGCTATTCTCCAAACCATGGTTTGGTTTCATCTAAATACCCCCCTAATTTGGTTCCTCCAAGGACGTCACTCGATGTTGCAGAAATTGCATAATGATCAAATTGAATCCGGGGGGGGGGGGGAATAAAAGCTTAGGAAAATTGATAATTTAGTACCTCGACGGAACTGGGAGTTGAACCCGTGCTCACATCGAATTTAAATTCATGAAATCAAATAAAACGAGCCCACCTGTATTACTTCATCTCCCCCGCTGTGCAAGTTTGCGAGCATTTTCACTGTTTCCAGCAAAATCAGTGAGTACCAAAGAGATCATGGCTGCATCACTTGTAGGTGGAGCTCTTCTCTCTGCTGTCTTCAATGTGTTTTTGGAGAGGTTAACGCCAGAACTGGCTGACATGATCAACTTCATTTGTGGAAAGAAGCTGGATGACAAGTTACTTCATCATTTGAAGCCATCCTTGATTGCTGCAAGAGCTGTGCTCAGGTTATTGTTATCTTCCTCCCCATTTAAAACAATGCTTTGCTTATCGTTCTTTATTTCCAGAGGATTATCAATTTAACAAGGAGGAATTAATCTTGATGTGGATGGCAGAAGGTTTCTACAGCCATCAAAGGGGAACATGGCTTTAGAAGATGCTGGTCATGAGTACTTTGAAGATTTAACTTTGAGATCATTCTTTCAACCTTTACCTATAAGTGATTTGCACTTTCTTCTTAGTTACAAAACTAGAGATGGGCCCTTTGTGATGCATGATCTCATTCATGAGTTAGCACCTCATGTTGCTGGAGACTTTTACCTTAGATTAGGGGAGAAGGGAAACAAAATTGGTCATAAGACACGCCATTTATCTTGCAACTTTCAAAATTATCCATACTTAGACCATGATGTTTTGCAAAAGTCAAAAGGCTTGCGAACATTTATAGGATTGAATTTTTCCTACATTCCTAGATCTATTGGAAATTCTTCTCACATTTTATTATCAAATCTGAAGTGCTTGCAGATGTTGTCACTTCGGGATTTGTCTGCCTTAAAAATACTTCCTGAGTCAATTGGGAAATTCATCCATTTGCACTATTTGGATTTGTCAGAGACATGTGTTGAAAGTTTGCCTAATTCGATTGGTAAGTTGTATAATTTACAGACGTTGAAATTGTGTCATTGTGCTTCTCTCATAATTCTGCCAAGTGACATCCAAGATCTTGTAAATCTTCACTATTTGGATCTATCTCGGGCATACAAGATTGCATGCTTGCCTGACTCATTGTGCAAATTATACAATCTACAAACATTGAGGTTGTGACATTGTACCTCTCTGGAGATGCTGCCAAGTAATATTCAAGATCTTGTAAACTTGCGACATCTTGATGTTACAGACACTCCTCTGAAAGCAATGCCGAGGGGATTGGGTAATATAAAAGATTTGCAGTTTCTGAGTGACTTCGTTGTTGGCAGAGAGCAAGAGGCTAGCATTGGAGAATTGGGAGAAATTTCAAATTTGAAGGGTATAATTAAAATTAGTAAATTAGAGAATGTCAAGAATGGAAATGAAGCCTGTGACGCGAGAATGATGGAGAAGAAGCACATTAAAAGTTTAACATCATCATGTGCATGGTATGATGATGTGGAAGATACCAGGACTGAGAGAGATATTTTGGGCAATCTTCAACCTTATTGCGATTTAGAAGAATTGGAAATTCATCATTATAGGGGCACAATATTTCCAGATTGGTTAGGAAGTCCTTCCTACCACAGCATGACTTGGTTGCGATTGTGTAATTGCAAAAACTGTTGCGTGCTATCCCCTCTTGGGTAGCTCCCTGCTCTGAAGAAATTATATATTGATCGTTTAGAAAGTGTAGTAAGCATTGGAGATGAGTTGCTGAAGGGTAGTGATTGTGCTTCCATAATACCATTTCCATCCCTTGAATATCTCCAGTTTTTGTTGATGACTTCATTGCAACAATGGCATTCCATTGACATGAAAGCTTTCCCTGAGCTGCGACAACTCTGCATATCATCTTGCTACAAATTAGTTGGAAATTTACCTTGCCAACTGCTTGTTCTAGAAAATCTAGAGATTTTAGAATGTCCAATGCTTTCTTCGTGTATTCCGAGGTGTCCCAAACTTCAGAATTTTAACACTTGTGGAAGTGGAAATATGGTATGGCAAGAACAAGAGCTACCTCCTTCCCTTTGCAAGCTAGTAATAACAGAATCTCAAATGTTGGAATCAATGCTGGAGGCACTCTCTAAACACTCGCATCTGCAACAATTAGTCATCGATTGTTGCTCCAATACATCACCTCCAATGATTCATTTGCCCCAGTCATTACGACATTTAGAGGTACGCTGGTGTGAAAATGTCAATTTTGTGATGGGTTCTAATGCTCCTCTTCAAAATCTCCAGTCTATTGCCATTGAAGGCTATAATTTTGTGAAGTTTATGTCGGATGACATGGAAGGCCTTCTCCCAAATTTAAGAAAGCTACACATGCGGGGTTATCAACATATGAAGGCATTTCCAGAAGAAATCCTTGTGCCAAGTTTGAGGACATTTTATATTGAAAGATGTAATAAGCTATCCCATCAAGCAAAGTGGCACCTCCTAAGTAATATCACTTACCTTCGTATCTATCAGTGTAGTGAAGTTACGTGTTTCCTAGAGGGGTGTTTTCTTCCTACCACTCTTACCACCCTAGAACTCAATGGCTTTCATTGCTTGGAGACATTGAATTGCACAGGACTGCAGCACCCAACCGCTCTCCAACATCTAAAGATCTTGCATTGTCCCAAGCTGGAGAAAATGTCAGGAGAAAAGCTGCCTGCTTCTTTAAGAAAGCTTCACATTTGGGAGTGTCCGTTGCTTGAAGAAAAATACCACAACAAGGATGAACAAATTCTGTGCAGAATATCCCACATCTCAGTCATCAATCTGTTTAAGCATTAAGGTACAATTATTCACAATGTACATATTGTCACTCACTTGTTCCAATTACATATTTAGATTCAAGTTCTATATTTGCTACTTAACATGGTTACACTTATCCATGTAAGTGTTTCACAATTTTAAATTTATTATAATGATACCAGCATTTCTTACATCAGTTTTCCTTCGGGTAACTTACGAGATGTTAAGAAATAGAGCATCAGAATTCAGTTTTCCCAATTATTTTCTTTTTTCTTGTTTAACTTTTTTACTTGTTTTTTCTTTACGTTACTTTCACTTTTCTTTTCTTTTGTTTTTTTAATAAATTCACCAGGCCGGTCTACATATTCATGTAATTTACAATTCAATTGACTACTTATACATTGAGGAAAGCAGTATGACTTTTATCTTCAGAGATATTCAAACAATTGCTTTTTTCACAGAAATTATTGTGCACCAAATCCTCTGATTTAATCATGCAATGAGGAATTGATTATTCACAAAAAGTCATAGTGAAGGTACACAGCTAGACAACTTTCTGTTTACATAACAAGTACCATTTTTTTTTTTGGTAAGTTTTATCTTCTCTGTTTTGAGTTTTTTCTTGTTATGGGAAAGTTGCAGATGGAGTCCAACATGGTGTTCGTTCTAACTGATAAAAGCAACACAGTGCTTCTTCTTCAGAAGGTGTAATGTTCTAATTAAGATCCGATGGATTCTAATTAAACAGGCTTGAACTGAACCAAAGCCTTTGATTCCCTCGTAGTGTTTGTTTAATTATTCTATCCTATAAATTAATGCTTTTGATTGTGATTAACTAGCATCATAGTAACAAGCTAGTTGGGGGTAATGGATTGCCGTTTCTTTTTATTTTTCCTTTCTCTCCCATCCGTTTGCCATCTCTGGACTTACTTTCTTTTCATATGTTCAAAATGCAGCACCAGCAAGAGGGACAGAAAGGGATTTGCAGACTTGAACCTGCACTAAATAAATGAAAAGCCCATTGAAATCTGATGAAGTCCAACCTCTTCTTGATAAAAGATTCTGATTTTCTGCAAGTGTTCTTTGTGTGACTCCTGTGCGTTAAATTTTATTTTATTTTATTTTTTCCTTCCAATGATACTTTGGTCAAAATCTGTGTGATATACACACATATATGATGGTTTTCTTTGTTGGGTGTATAAATGTTATTAGGATGAATTATGTATGTTGTCTTGTGAATATTCATTACTTATAAAATTCTCAAGCTTCATGGTTGGGGAGAGGATGTAGGATTCAATTTTTGAATCTGAACCTCTATATATCATGGTGTCATCTTAATTATTTCATTTTATTTTTTTAAGTTTCAAAGCATCAAAAGAATTATATGTTGCAAAGTAATTTGGTATATCACTTTTTTTTCAATCAAGCGGAAAAGCTCGTTTTCATAATAAATATGAATTCTTTTGTAATAAAAATTTCAATTTCCCTCTTTCTTTTCCTTCCTCGCTTCTGAGTATTCTGTGCTACTACCTTAGGTCGTTGCAGTAGTTTAATATTCATTTTGCTTCTAATATAAGACTTTAATCTATTTTGTATATCATATTTATTCATTTTTTCTAAGCTAATTCTTGTAGTAGTTGTACATGTTAAAGGTTTCATCAAATAGTAATTCTAGCTAATGCATATGATTAGTAAGAATATTTTAGAGAAGACAATAGCTATTTATTATAAATAATTTAACTAATTCTTTTAATATACTCAAATTAGTCAACTAGCTTTTATATTAAGGAACGGAGTTAATATTTAGTATATGCTTATTCTATTGTGGTCCAAGTATTGTAGAATATTCAGTCATGGGTAAATTGTTAATATATTAGGATAAAATTAGAGTGTTGCGCCAATTTTTGCTTAAAATTAAAATAGTAAAGAAGCTTCTTTTTATGAACAATGCATTTAACAACTAGCTTTTCTAATTTTTTAGGGTGAAAATTCATTTCCTTTGCAAAACACAGAAGGAAAAAAAACTAACCAGCAATACATACACACATATATAGGGGAACAGATAAATAGGATGAAAGGTTCTTGATTACCTACTCCAAAACCTCAGTAATGGCAAAACATGCAACATTGGATTATTATTGCTCTTGACACTTTTGAAGCATTACCAAATTACCTGCAGATGACCCTTTTTCTCCCATGATCAATGCAGTTATTTCTAAATGTTACCTCCTCTGCACTGTTAGTTGACAAATCTAATGACCAAGCTATAAAATAACTGCATATTCACTGCAAAATCATAGTGCACGGGGAGATGTTCCATTATATTGATCGACTTTCATGTGTACAATTGTTGCATATGTTCTTGTATGCAACTGCATAGCCAGATAGCAGGAAGAAAACAGAAGCTCCAATGGACATTAGAATAAGAATACGCAGGCTTTCCTGTCTGAACTGATAGCTATTGCTTTTCAAGCTTGAGAAAAGATAGGCTTTAGCCTTATCCACTCAGAGTTAGATTCTTGTAGCCACCTGCATGTGATGGTCCTTCAAACACTTTCTAAGAGCAACCTAGTTTTTCGAAAACTTCCCAAATAAATATCTAAATCCTACATAGAACATTGCTTTTCCAGACTATTTCTGGTATTATGTGACGCACAAGCAATATGTCCTTGCTGTTGCTTTTCCGAGGTCACTGGTTGCGGTATAAGATCACCCACTGCAGACAAACACATTGGACGTTCTGGCTGCAGAGGAGACCAAGGCAACTAAACAAAGAGAAATCCCTTTCCATTGATTACTATCTTCAAATCAAGACCACATGTCATATTAATTCCTCAGACCAAGTAAAAACTTTAAAACTTGGTGTTATATACTACTCTAAGGAATGCGTTGAATTGATCAAAATTTTCAAATTTACTCTTATTAAGGTTTTCTTTTCTTTTTATTTTTACAAATCATTCATTCCTTTTAGTCTCACTCTCTTCTTTTTTCCTTTCCAATGACTGTGAGAGTTAAGTAAGGATAAAATAAAAAATAAAAAACAGTCATCATATACCTTAAAAGTTACTTATATTTAAGGACAAAAATATTCCTCTACAAGTAACCAATTATAATAAGGACTAGAGTGGTATTCATGATGCTCTCAATTTGATGTAGATTCTAATTGACAAGAACGGCAATGTGCATTAGTATTCCAATCAAGAAGGTTTAATTTTACCTTCTTGGCCTTGAGATGCTTCAGACTAGATTATGGCCCATCTCACTGGAAAGATGGAAGTGTTTGAATTGCTTATATTAATTGTTTGAGATGGGCAAACATTTTTTCGTTTATTGGACTGACCCACCTTTGTTGAATTTCCTTGGGCTGTTTGTTTAAGTTTGACTGAGGACTTTATTGGTGGCTAAGTGTTCATTTTGATTTTTTTTGTGGGCTTTAGCGATAGAAGGAACAGGCGACAAGAAAAGGGATAAAAAAACAAAGTAGTTGGTTTGTTATGAGTTGTCATTTTATCCAACAGAAATTGTGTTTAATAGAATATGCTCAGTTTGAATCCTCATCAAAAGAAGTACTCATATTTAGAACCCAATAATATCTTGAAAAAGATTGCATTCAATAAGATGATACATGTAACTAGAAAAACAAATTACTCTCTCCGTTCCTTATTATAAGAGACAAATAACCGAAGTACGTTGATAAAAAAAATAGTTAAAATTAGTTAAGAACAATTAATGTGTAAAAAGTATAATTTTTTTTCCAAAAATGCACTCATTAATAAGGAGAGAGAGCATGAGAGAGAACAATTAAATTATTAAAAGAAAGAGAAGTGGGAGGGAGAGAGAGTGTGAGTTGGAGACAATAAATATGGGTAAAATAGAAAATCAACACAAAAAAGTAGAGACAACTTTTAAGTGTCTCTTATATATAGGAACATGCCATAAGCATCAAATGTCTCTTATAATAAGAAACGGAGGGAGTATCATTTAAGCTCAAAAATTTAGAAGCCAAACATGACATTATCTCCGCAATGAACGCAAAGAACCAGGTAATTTTGAGTTCAATCCAAACAGCAAAATTAAGGATGACGAATCAATTCACATGTTGAATTGGGAACTACGAAAATGTGTAAAGAACATATAGTTAAAATAGGATATATAAACCAATAAACTGATAGTTGGGATAGTAAGCAGTCACATAACTACTGTAAGCGTATCATGCCTTATAAGATGATTTTTAGGTCTCAAGATCGTTTCAACTCCAAAATTCATTTGGATCACAGGAAGTGAACACAACAAAATAACAAAAAAAATTAAAGACAAATGCAAGACGATATAAACATATAAGTGTTTGGCGCCATTAATTTCATTTCATCATTACTGTCACCAACTTAGTCCTACTTTTATCGAGGAGGCAAACGCAGAGACGTTTGCAAGCACAGTTCCAGTCCTCGATGTCTGTATCATAAGGACGCCTTATGCCCACTTGAGCCGCTGCTGCTCGCTCGGTGCTCGGCTACTAAAGTACTCCGTAGTGAGGGGAAGTGAATGTTTGATAGATAATTTTATTAAATTTTTAACACGAATATATTATTTTACTTTTTTATTTATTATCATATAAATTTTTGTTTTTTAAAAAGTATATATTCTTTAATATTTAATTAAATAATTTAAGTGGATTAAGGATATTAGTTAAATTAGTTAATTTGATGTATTTTTTTTAATTCGGACGAAGCATATCACAAGTGATTTGGAAAAAAAGAGAGAAATATTCTTTTAGTCCTATTCAGTAAATGAATGAGAAAAGTGAGTTGGATGCTTCTTGGGAAAAATAACAACAGAAAATAGTGAGTGCTTATCAGTAATAAAGATACAGCTGGAAAAGTGAAACCGTGTGAAGACTAGCGAACAAAAAGTAAGTCTTCCAATGCGCGTTTAATTTCAATTTGGAGCGGGCATTTTGTCT